GGAGTGAAAACGAGGGACCCCCCCAGGATGGCGTATTCTTTATACACCACAAGTCAGACCCTTGGTGATGTATCAGCTTTAGTATGCTGGCCAAAAATACTGAACAAGAGGACAAAGAACAAGCTACAAAGTCTACAAAGACTAGAGCGTCTCAACATAATAGGGGCAATCGAAAACGCACTCGACCTTTCAAATTTACATACAAAAGGTGGCTTTTGAGAGTGCCAACTCCTGAGATGCAAGGAATAAAGACAGATCTAAGGAGAAGCCACCACGATAAAATGAGAGAAAACCTCAACGTTAACATCTTTCCAAGTGGTCATAGATAATGGACCTTTGGTAGAAAGGTAGCTTCGTTTAATGAAGAAGGCGTAATGTGGTACACTGATGAATCGAAGATAGAATAGGGTAGTTTAGGGGTAAAAAAACCAAACCATACACGCCCATTGGACTAATCCTAATAATTTTCCAAGCTGAGGACTATCCAATACAACTCTGGGCACATGCAATTAATATTATAATTATTTACACACTCTCAGACAGCCAGGCTATAAAGGCAATAAATGTGTATGCTTTCAACCCTAAACGTGTCTGGTCCCTTGCTTGGAATTGGTAGAGGAAACGTCCGGCCAATTTTTTTAGACTTTAGGAAAGAAAAGGATGAGTTCTGGACTCTCAAAACCAACCTAAGTTCGCCTTCAAATTAATATGTGGTAAAATAATATAAATTATAATTAAACTTCAGTGGGAAATATTTTCCACGTGTATTTGAATATGAATTAATTTTCCATTTTTGTCAATTGATATCAAAGGATGGACAGTGGTATCATAAAATGAACATCAAAGGTAGGTTATTTCTGATAAGGAAAGGAGCATATATTACAATGTATTATTGCTCTATGTCATATAATCAGTTTTCTAACATGTCGATCAAAAAATGGCCGGATTATTGGAGTTATGCTCGAAGGTTAATTTAATACGAATATAATTGTCTCTATCGTTTATAGTCAATAGATTTTATATGAAAATGTCAAATCGTGAATATCCATTGATGGTAAACGCAGTGTTATTCTAATTATCTAAATTAATAGTTGGCACTAACAGAATAGAAGTTAACTAGACATGTTAATTAGTTTTACTTTGACATTGATATTGTTACGGGAATAATATCAAACGCAACTGCGGACAAATCCCTTGTACTGTCGATTCCACCGATGTCAGAAAAACTAGCATGCTAATTAAGAACGTTTCCAAAGGCTAGGATGACCGATGATATCCTCGATTAATATGATATTCGCCTCATGTCGGAAATTCACGCGAAATATTTATGTTCGGACGTGTTGGTTTTGCCGTGGAGGTCGTTGTTGACCCAAAATGGATAAACTGTATAACACCCTTTGTTTATCGGTGACGAGCGAAAGGCTATGTCCCGTCAATAGACAAACGGATAGAATCAAATGGTTTGGGATCATGTGACCTTTTCTCTTCAGTATGTCTATGACAGTTGTGCCGATCGTATTAACTTGTATTACCATCGATAATATAAAGCTTATGATAATTACTAGTTAAGCTAAATTTCTACGGCTTGTAGAAACTTCTAGTCTTAACAGCTTTTTTTGTACAAATTAACCCTTTTTAATTTAAAATTAACCTTTTTTTAGTTTCAAATTAATCATTTTTAATTTTAAATTCACTAGTTTCGTGGTCCGCTTGACCAATTAATATCTTACAGTTAATTAAGGTTTTCAGTTGAGATAAAAAAGTCAATGGCACGAGCGGGATTCGAACCCACGATCTTCGGCTTGATACGCCGCTGCTCTACCACTTGAGCTATCGTGACCTCGATCCACTCGGACACTAACTTCCAATTTCAACCCCTCCTATTGAATTTTCCGTCCATTTTTGTAATTTTTCAAATGTCGTGTAATCTATTTGATTCTCGGCGACAAATGAATTGCCATGGAGAGCTTTAGCGAAGGTATACTTAATTTTTACTTATTAAATTCGCTAGTTTTCGTGGTCCGCTTGACCAATTAATATCTTTCAATTAATTAAGGTTTTTAGTTGAGATAAAAAAAGTCGGCGTCACGAGCGGGATTCGAACCCACTACCTTCGGCTAGATACGCCGCTACTCTACCACCTGAGCTATCCTGACTTCGATCAACTCGGACACTAACTTTCCATCTCAACCACACCTTTCGAATTTTCCCTCCTTTTTGCCATTTTTCAATACTTTAATTTTAAAGTAACAGTTTTTAACATCAAATTAACCTTTTTTAATTTCAAATTAACCCCTTAAAACATCAAAAACCTAGAAGGTGACTTAAAATATAAAGACATTTGTTTCAAATGTAATATTCTTTTTTTTTATTTGAATAAAATTATACATATAATAATTTTTTTTGACAGGGGTATCCGACAGCTTGGTCATTTCAGCCCCCAAGCATTAACGAAATACCAGTACACCCTCGATACCCAATCACACCAATAAATACATTCACACCAACATATATTGATCACATTCATTCTGTTTGGTAGATGGAGTACTCGATATTCCATCCTGTTCACTACAATTAGAATTGGGCAAAATCTAACTAATTCAATCATGATTAAGAATTTTGATTGAAGTTTAATCATGATTGAATTAGTCATAAGTAAATTAATCATTATGTGATTTAGTCATGATTAATCCAGTCATGAGGTATGACTAAATTATACAATGATTAATTTACTCATGACTAATTCAATCATGATTAAACTTCAATCAAAATTCTTAATCATGATTGAATTAGTTAGATTTTGCCCAACTCTGGCTACAATGACCAACTTACCAAAATCCAACAGACTCCGGATAAAAATTTTGAGATGAGAGATGAGTAGTTACATAATTATTCTACATGTCTATTTTATTACAATCAACACCCCTAGATGGTGTATTTTCCAAATAACGTAGAAATCTCTCCTTTTAAGTGGAATAAATTTTAATTCAAAGAAATATTTTTTCCATTGATCGGTTAGTAAACATATTTACTTTTGAAAGCGTAACTTGTTCTTGGATTTTTTTTATTTTATTTTATGTTTTTTATTATTATTATCATTATTTTTTGGCTTTCCATAACGACGTAGTTTTACTTATAATTGGAAGATTGATTTTTGTTAAATAAGGTGTTGAAGGATTTTCGTTTTGATGAAAAAAATTTCTGTTAGAAATTTTTTTAAAAGTGATGAAGTTGTGTATGTTTCATTTTTTGAGCATCCATTTGAACATGATTTATCAAAATTTAGTCATGACTAACTATATTGTGACTAAATTAGTCATGCCTCGTATCTAATTCCTAGTCATGACCAATTCAGTCATCAATCACATATGGTCACTAATGACTAAATTAGTCACTTACTAACAATCATGACTAACGGTCTGAGTGATCAACATTAATCATTAGACAAGTCTAATTTTTGCCCAATACTGACTACAATAAACTACTCTAATTTGTGGTCGATGGGGTACTTTAAAAGTTTTCCGCCGTAGACCGAAGTCACGCATGCAACATGAAGGCTGATGGAGGTAGCTACGTCACCATCAGCACCTCCCCATTCACACTAATAAATACATTCACACCAACATACATTGATCACACTCATTCTGTTTGGTAGATGGAGTACTCAACATTCCTCCATCTACCTGTTCACTGCAATAAACTACTCTAATTCGGGGTCGACGGGATCTTTAAAAGTTTTCCGCCGTAGACCGAAGTCACGCATGCGACATGAAGACTGATTGACGTGCTACGTCACCATCAGTCCCTCCCCATTCACACCAACATGCATTGATCACACTCATTCCGTTTGGTAGATGGAGTACTCAACATTCCTCCATCTACCTGTTCACTGCAATAAACTACTCTAATTCGGGGTCGACGGGATCTTTAAAAGTTTTCCGCCGTAGACNATTATTTTGATTAAAGAACATTGCTTTAAAGTAACTAGTTTCTTTTTTTTTGTTTAATACCAAAATCCTGCATTATTTTCCGGACAACCCAATACAATAGACAATCTAATTTGTGGTTGATGGGGTACCATAAAATTTCTACCATTGGCCCAAATCATACACACAACCTGAGAGGCATATATCATTAAGGAAATATTATATAATATCAGTATCATTATAATATCTATCATTTTCTCTTCTTTTATTTACGATTTATGTAGATTTATTTGATGAAAAACCACCAACCTGGCAGACGGACTATTGTTCATTGTGTTTTTGTAAATTTAATTGAAAAAACGAAAATGTATAAAGTTCAATAAATTAACTTCTTCTTCTTCATCCACACAGAGAAAAAATCACGCATTTATTATACTAGTTTATCCTATTTGGTTCGACGGATTCCACTCACGCAAATAAATACATTCACACAATTTCAGTGGACACTAGGGTTTTTGATATTAAGCCGGTAACTAACACTATTACACTGAACATCCGCTAATAAATACATTCGCTCAAAGTAAGACTATTAATTTAAAGTAGGTTGAGATAAAAAATTTATTGTCACGAGCGGGATTCGAACCCATGACCTTGGGCTAACTACGCCGCTACTCTACCACTGGAGCTATCGTGACTTCGATCCGCTCGGACACTGACTTCCCATCTCAATCCAAACATTCAAATTTTCCTCCTTTTTGCCATTTTTGAAATGTCGTGTAATCAGGATTGTCGGCGGCAAATGAAACGGCCACGGAGAGCTTTAGTCAAGTAATACTTCGTTTTACTTATTAAATCTATTATATTTCGTGGTCTGATTGACCAAATAATTTCTTTCAATTAATTAATTTTTATATATTGGTTGAGATAGTTTGAAAAATGCCAAAAAGGTGGGAAATTTCGAAAGGTTCGATTGATGGAAGTTAGTAGCTCAAGTAGTAGAGCAGCGGCGTATTTAGCCGAAGGTCGTGGGTTCGAAACCCGCTCGTGAAACTGACTTTTTTTCTCAACCAATACCTTACATAAAAATTAATTAATTAAAAGAAATTATTTTAAAGGATGAAAGGGCTCCCTATATGCGACCATATACGATTATCTGCTTCAGGTATAGAATCAACTTTTTATTTATAATCACTACTGTGCTTTAAAAAAAAATTTCATGATACTCATCGGGCTCTCATGCCACATCCTTGCTACTCGTTTGGCTGCTTACTAACGTTAGCGGGAAGCATGGAAATCTTTTTTTTTATTAATATATACTTAACGTCCACTCTGTGAAGTTATTGGTTATTTTTAATTAATTATTAATCAATCACTGTTATAAAAACTTAAAAATAAAAAGATTTGTTTAAATTTTTCATCAGAATTTTGCTTTCTGTTTTTAAAATTTCTATTATATGACGTTAATGATGATGATTCTTTAAAATTAGATCGAAATTGTTGCGTATGTATTGTTTATTTGTTTTGTTATTCATATATAATCACATTCTTTACACTATGACGTTACTGATAAATTCAAAAAGAACGAGTTTATTAAAAACACCAGAAAATTGCTAAATTTTTTCACCTTGGGATAAATTTATGATAGAAAATTTGCGTATTATTGTCAAGGTTTTTTATTGTTATTGATGCAAATCGACAGCCGATTCAGCAAAGGCGGACTATTTCGAGATAACCCCAGCTGCGATAAATGTACTGCAACGACAAATGCATTGCAGTTCATCTTCAGAGGGAAAAGATGAGACTTCTCTTTTACGCGGTTCTGATCATCTTCGCCCTGGTGCAGTCTTCGTTCCAGTTCGACGCCCAGGAAGTACAAAAGACCCGACGGGACCCGATAGCTGGACTTGTGCAACTTCAAATGCCCGGAGAAATCGTTCCTCACCACCAGCGGAAGGAACGGCCTCCTTTTTACCTGCCTAAGGCCTTTTAGTCAACTTGTACAACAGAGGAATTGCAAAAATGTGCTAATAAAATTGTAATACATACAGGTGCAATTAACAAATAAACAAATATTTTAATCAGACTACTTTTCTTATTACGTAAGTTTGCCCTTTCTATTATTTTTAGCAAGATCAGTGAAATTCTGAAGAAAATCACAATAGCAGTTGACTAATATTTCTGATATAAGAACAGCCTATGTACAAATTGTTTATTAATTATTTTATTTCATTATTACGCTATTATAACATCTTGCATAGCTTTTTCCGTCAAATTAACCCTTATTAAATTCAAATGACCTCTTTTTTACTGAAAATTAACTCTCTCTTTAAAACATCAACAAAACTTAGGACATGGTGTAAAAAGAAAGCATGTAAGTAAAATTCCTGCATTTAAAACAAAAAAGTAAATATGTCTTCATCGAAAACCATACGAAAATTTTCTTTAATTTTTTTCCTTTTAATTTAATCTTTTTTAAGACAGAGTTATCTGGCTTTTAAAACCATAACTTTTTGCTAACAATTTTCAGAAGAATCCTTAATTTTTTGTATTTTATTTTATATAATTTTAATTTTCTAACGGTTCATAATAGCCCAATTATTTTATACTGGCGAAATATCAAAAACCCTAGTGACTACACGATTTTGGGAATGCATTTATTTGCGTGAGTGATTAAGTGTTTATGTGCTGACAGGAATATTGAGGATTTAAATTAACCTATTTATTTCATTTCATATCAACACTTGCTTTAAAACATTAATAATACTGTGTGGTGATTAGTGACCGTTAATCGATAATTATTCAGAAATCGTGAGATGCGGTCTGGTGTGATGTAGGTTTCAACACGACACGCAAGAATGGCAGAATTACACAGAAGACAAACACTTTGAGTGAGTAGAAATACTTTGATTGAATATAAAATATATTTTGCATTGTATAAATTCACTTTTCCACATCCTAAATGTATTTGTTAAATGTAAACAATGTTTGTAAATCCCAGGCCCTGAAGATGATCTCAATAAAGATCGAAACGTTGGCACGATAAAGAAAATGTTTTTCTGAAACCTACATCACACCAGACCATGCATCTCACGATTTCTGAATAATTAATAATACTAACAGGATGGTAAGAAATATAAGTGAACACTTTTTATATATAAACTAATTGGGCCCTTGGAAGACCACAGGAAAATTAAATTCAAAATTACATAAATTAATATAAAAACAAATTTATCTTTTAATTTGAGATTTTTTCATATAAAATAATTGGCCTTTTAATACCACAATTTCTCTTCTCAAATTAAAAGAAAAATCCTTAATTTTTATATTTATTTTATATAATTTTAATTTTCTAATGGTTCTTAACAGCTCAATTATCTTATACTGGCGTAATATCGAAAAACTGGTGATTATGTCCGGATTATGAATTATTTACAAAATTAATATAAAAACAAATTTATCTTTAAATTTGAGATTTTTCATATAAAATAATTGCCTTTTAAAACCACAATTTCTCTTTGTCAAATTAAAAGAAAAATCCTTAATTTTTATATTTATTTTATATAATTTTAATTTTCTGATGGTTCTTCACAGCCCAATTGTCTTATACTGGAGTAATATCAAAAACCCTGGTGACTACCCGATTGTGGGAATGTATTTATTTGCGTGAGTGATAAAGTTTGTACGGGCTGGCAGGAATATTGAGGTTTTAAATCAATCGTATTTAATTACATATCAACACTTTCTTTAAAACATTAATAAAACTAAGGGGACGGTAAGAAAAAGTAAAATTATATAAATTAATATAAAAACAAATTTTTCTTTAAATTTGAGATTTTTTCATATAAAATAATTGGCCTTTTAAAACCACAATTTCTCAGATTTCTCAAATTAAAAGAAGAATCCTTAATTTTTATATTTTATTTTAGATAATTTTAATTTTCTAACGGTTCATGACCAATTATCTCATACTGACGAAATATCAAAAACCCTGGTGATTACCCGATTTTGGGAATGTATTTATTTGCGTGAGTGATTAAGTGTGTATGTGCTGGCAGGAATATTGAGGTTTTAAATTAACCTATTTATTTAATATTATTTAATTTCATATCAGAAGAAATATAATCCCTTTTTATATATAAAATAATCGGGCCCTTGGGAGACCACAGGAAAATTAAATTTAAAATTACATAAATTAATATAAAAACAAATTACAACATAAAATATAATACAATTTACAACAATAAAGAATCCTTTATCTTTCATTTTAGTCTACATAATTTTTCATATTAATTGTAATTGTCATATGGTGACTACCCGATTGGGAGAATGTATTTATTTGCGTGAATGACTAAGGGTGAAACGGCGCGGTGTGTGAGGAATATCAAAGTAGTTTAAATTAGGACGGTAAGTTTAACTTCAAATTAACCCTTTTAATCTTTAAATCAATTGTTGATTATTTTAAATTAACCGTATTTAATTTCAACATTTTCTTTAAAACATTAATAAAACTAAGGAAAAGATTAATAAACTATGAAATACAAGGATTAAAAATACAACCACTATATATTTAAGAAATTTTTTTTAATATAAATTAATCGGGCCTTTGGAAGGCCATATTAAAATTAAAATTATATAAAGTAATATACAAAACAATTTTTTTCTTTTAATTTGAGATTTTTTCAATATGAAATATTTGGCCTTTTAAAACAAAAATTTCTTAGATTATTCAAAATAAACAAGCATCTATCTTTCTAATTTAGATTATATAATTTTTTTCATCTTAATTGTCACATGGTTTTTAAGAGCCCAATTATTTTGAACTGGCGCAATATCTAAAAACTCTTACGACTATCCTATTATGTGAATGTATTTATTTGCGTGAGTGGTTAAGTTTGTGCATCAACACGGTCTCTGTGGAATATTACAATTCGGTTTAGTTAGGATATTAAAATCGTGTTTTTGTTTTTTTTACTAGGTCTAGGTGAAAAACGTCAAGTCCCGGCAAACTTAGATTAGGCTATCATCTATGAGAGTGTTGACTTGGGTACTTCAAAGATAGAAATAATGAAAACTGTGGGATAGACAAAACGTGAAGTTTTGCTAACCAAACAGAAAAAAATAAATAAAGGCCCCAATTTTTTTATATTAAAAAAACAAACTAAATGAATAATCATTTGCTTTTATATTTCATTTTATATATAAACTGTTTTTTATTTGTAATTAATTTTCGTATGAATATTAAAAAAATTCTCAAATATGCAATATATATTTTTATATGGTTATATTTCATATCAACTACTGGGTTTCTTTAATGCTTCAAACTAAAAAGGGTTAATTTAACGGAAAAAACTAAAAAAGAATATGCCTTGTCCGGTAGTCCAACTACCTTGGAATTATTTTTGTCTTGATTCAACAGTGGTAGAAATTTTCAATTTTTCCTAAAATCATGCAATTTTCTATAATCGTCATAATCTCGCACTGATCATGCAATGAGCTGCAGAGGGCGAATTCCACCACCTGCTCTGGCCTAAGCTACAGAATTTTGATATGTATCAAAATTATATTTAAATGTATAAATTCATAAATTGATGAGGTAGAATTTGTTTCTTTTGCGCCATTTCTTACCTTCATTCTTAAATGGTTGGTCTGTTTGTTATTTTGTCACTCTAGTCCCTTCATACGTTTCAGGACATGGCAAAATCCCGAAAGGCATATTAAAACGACAGAAAAGAGGCAGAAGAAGTTAGTTTGAGATGAGCAACTTACTGGTTCATCACTTTTGTATAAGGATATCAACAATGTTGATGTTTTTTTGGTTAGATGATTTTATATCATATACCATGATTGAAATGAGGTCGTTTAAGCTTCTAGATCATGTCCAGCTACTGTTTCTCCATTTTGCATTTTTATGTATGTATTTTCTATGTAAATGGTTTGATTTTAATTTCCTTGTACAGATATTTCAATAAATAACATTCATTTTCATCTAATTTGGTTAGATTTTAGCACAAATAAATTGTTGAAGACGTGACGAGAGGTCAAGAGTGAGGTAATTGAGAAGAACACCTTTATTTGTTTGCCGACGTTTCGACCTTTATTCGGGTCATCTTCAGGGGATAAAGTTTGTTGCTATTCTTGTGGTGTCACATGGGTTTTGTGTGAAACTGTTGTGAACTACACTGTCACACAAAACCAATATGACACCAGAAAAATAGCACCACACTTTATGCCCTGAAGATGATCCGAATAAAGGTCGAAACGTCAGAGAAAAAAAATAAAAAAGGTGTTTTTCTAAGCTACCTCATTATTGACCGCTCCTCACGACTTCAACAAATTTTGAAACAACCGGTCACTAAGAAACATACATTTTAGCACAAAGCAAATATTATTAAGAAAAATCGATTATATTTAGATAGTTTTGAAAATAAATTGAACTTTTTTTTACGCTTTATTGGGTCAAGCCTGATTTTATAGATAACCTGCCGTTTCATAACTCCATAAGTGCAAATAGCTGTTAGGATTCTGGTTTAGAGATAGTTAACTTAATCGATCCGAGAAACTAATTACTGATAACCTCATGACGTTGCGTCAGATAAAATTATTGCAACAGTTCATGAACGTACGGCCGATAGCTGTTCAGTCCCGTTCGAACCACTACATTTCAAAGATGAAAGTGCTCTTCCTCATGCTTTTCTTAGTTGCTGCAACGTTTTCCATGCCTGTACTTATCACGTCGGATGAGAGGTACTCGGTATCTTTTCTTCATACGAAGCCGAAACCGGATGTCATCAACTTCCCAATGAAGTGCAAGATGAACCAACGAGGAAAATGTGTAATTATATATTGAACGGTGTATTAGTTCGTTCTTGTGTTGTTAATTGACTGTTCTTTTACTGAGAAATTAAATAACAACTCAAACGGTACATATCAATGAATTGACTACAAAACAATTGCGCGCGAAAAATGGGAATGAGTGAAAGACTAAATTCTTATCATTCATATCAGATTTGTCTCTTGTCAACATCGGATTATTTAATTGTAAGCTATCACTTTTATATCATATAAATTTGTAATTATGTAAAA